GCCATGCTGAGGTTGAAGAGCCCTGCTCTAGCTATTGAGGATTTATCTTGAGAAATAAGGTCACTTATTTAGAAAACTCAGACTGAAAAGGAAGAAAATATTCCCTTAGTTGAAAAAGATATCCATGTTAAAGGATATTTTAAGACAAATTACTCATAGGACAAAGTTTCTGTTGAGTATATAACCTTCAACTTCTACCCAAATAAATATAGATGTGTAATTATAATATATGTACCAGTTTGTGTTCATTTCCACTCAAAAATGTCACTTTTATAGTCTTTATATCATTTTAATAGAGAATATTTCATTGTTTCAACATAATGAAATTCAACCATTTCCTCTTTTTCCTCTTTTTTTATTTTTTAAGCAACTTGGGCAAAAGCAATTATTCCAGTGTGAAATTTGGCTTTGGAGAGCTGGCCATAGGGTACTCTCAACTTATTTTACAGCAAAAACTATGTTCCAAGAAATAAGTACTTTCAAAGCATTACACGAAAATGTTATGATGAAAACATTTTTGTCCAAAAAAAACCCCATTTACTACTTGGGAGAAACATTCACTGTTTACTCATTTTTTAAATTAAAAAAGCAACAACTTACGTTTCTCTTCAGAGTGTACGAGAGCCACACTATAGCCTAACTTGATAAAAGATTCTCGGTGTGAAACCCTGGCCCCTTCGGAGTGGGGTTACTCATGGAGCTTCTGGGTCGCGGGAGCACAGCTAGGCTGGGCTGTCCAAGTCCACACAGCACTGCAAGGAAGGAGAGAACAAAATCCTGCCTAACAAATCAGGACATGGAAGAGGCAAATGCTAAAGCTCATGCTGATGAAAGTAATTATAACCACTTACGTGATGAGTCAGAATGTATTTTAACAGATCTGAAAACTGTCGGAACTCAGCTGAATAGATCGAGTCTAGTACTGCCTAAAATTCTCAATGAATCCCAGTGTCAGCTGAGGTCTTCCTACATCTCAAAGTCTAGATAGAACTGCCTGCAACCCCTGTTCCACACCCTGTGAGATTTTAATGCACTCCCTAAGAATATTTTGCGACATTCTGGACAGCTCATGGCTTTAAGTTCTTATCTCTCTAAATTCATTCAGTTGATAGATGGTCTTACCGTTCCCCACCTGCCCTCTTTGACCTCTTCCTGCACCTGCTCAGACCAAACTCATCGCCTAACCCTACACAGACACCCCCAAACACACCATCCCCACTTAGAGTGCATGGCACCCCTTGGTGAAGGTAGGGGAGAGGTTATACCAAGGAATACAGACAACTTCGAAGCATGCAGTAAACATAGCCGTTAACTAAAGGGCTTCTGACCATTGCACCATGGGGATTTTTTCCTTGGGCCAATTCTTTTTGTATAGGATCCTAGCGTCCCCCACTCAGTAGACCCCTCTTTCTGCACCCTCTCTTATCTGCACCCTTCCGCCCAGACGGGCCTAAGTTGTCCTTACTGAGTTACTCGGGGCAGGTCAGATCTGAGTCCCTACACCCAACATCAATTCAAAGTCTTCCTTTGCATCTCAAAAACAAGCCAACCAGAAAGTCTTTAACTTAACTGGACCTACATTTCCAAAAGCAGTTCTTATTAATAACAATTTTTATTTCTTTTATACATCTATATAAACTTTGTTATCGCCTTCAAAAAGCCAGTTCTGAAATATCAGCTTGTTTATGTGTTTATAGTTGACCCTTGAATAACACCGGTTTGAACTGCACGTGTCCACTTGTACATGGATTATTTTCAATAAGTACTGCAAATGTAATTTCTCTTCCTTATGGTTTTATTAATTATGTTTTCTCTAGCTTACTGTATTCTAAGAATAGTGTATGAATACATAGCATACAAAATCTGTGTTAATTGACTGTCTATGTTATTGGCAAGACTTCCAGTCAATAGTAGGGTATTAGTAGTTAGATCTGGGGAGAGTTAAGTTATACAAAGATTTTTGACTGAATGTGTCTTGGGGGGGCTGGTGCCCCTAACACCCACCTTGTTCTTCAAGGGCCACCTTGGCTGTGAGAGAGCAGCTGCTCATCTGGATGGACATGCTCAGGCCTAGAGTGCAGGGCAGGCTGGTCCAGTGCTCTGCCTTGACGTCCAATTTCCTGCTCTTTATCTCTAAATTGCTCAGCCTGCCTCTCAGTGGTTCCTTCCATCCGGGGCTCTCCTCTGCAGCCTCATCTTCCAGAGTTCACCTCTCATTTGGTCTCTCTTACACCTCGTCTGTGTTTGTCAGATGCACTTGGGCACGGAGACCAGAACTGTCAGCACTTACAGGTCCCCGAGTGATGGTTCCTAGGTGCCTTGTTCAGTGCGTATTGTTGCTCTGGCTAGTTCTTAGACTCCATAAAAACAGGGTGATCTACTCTCTTGAATGCCCCAGTACCTCCTGGAGGACAACCAATACTTCATTACATTGTTCACTGTTTCTCCAGACTCATTGGTTCCACAAATTCATCCTCTCTGCAAACATTCATTGCCTGCTGCGCACTAAGAGGTGGGACACAGCAGCGAACAAGAGAGTTCTTGGCTTCCCCGAGTTTATTTCTCGTCAGGATGAGGGGTGGCAGACTGCTTTAGTGCTGAATGCACGTTGGTGACACCAGACCACTTGCTCAAGTTGCATAACCAGAGTAAAGTCCTTTTAGGATTGACTGCTGTGCACAGAAACAATACAACTTGTTGACCTGGTGACGTTTTCTTCAGCCCCTCAGCACCCCACTAATTCTACCCACCAGCCACATCTGCTCTTCGCTCGCGCAGCGATTTGTGTGTGGGTGCCGTGAAACCTTCCTCCTCTGGCTTTCTATTCCATCTGCGATAAAAGACAGTGTATTTTCACTTTTAAAATTATAGCTCTGAAATGTGAATTTCTTCATCATGCTCCTTGACACAATCAGATCTGCTCCCACAGATGTGTGATGAGGAAGAAACGTTAGAGGACAGGAAGTATTTTACCATGTCGCCTGCTAAAAATAAACATAATGTTCGTCCATTTATTATGGGAATAAAATGCCACTCCACACCTTATGAATAAACCTTTCCGTTTTAACAGTCCTCGGTTATACTGTGCCCATCTTATGATGGGTTGCTGTGGCAAAGACAGCAAGAAAATAAGAAGTGAATGCAATTTCCATGAAGGTTATTTACTGAGAAAGCTGGGCAAAGGGATTCCCTTTTCTACAAGCATCTCAGTAAGTGGGGAAAAAAAAACACCCCACACCAAAAGATATTATCAGGAGCTGTTTATACTAAACATTACTTTTCTAGGTTATCCACTTAACTCACCCTCTGAGATGCAGAGTTCAACCCTACCAGCTCAGAGCAGAAAGAAAAAAGGCCATTTATCTAATTCAATTCCTTGGGAAAAAAAAAATACGTAGGCAACATTAAGAATCTTCAATTATCTAATTTAATAAAAGGGATGGTTTCTATTCTGTAGTCAGTAACATGTGATACTGATTATTTCTAATCCCTTAGAAGAGATCTGACATTCTGCTTTTGGTCCTGTATAGCATGAAATTGTCATGTATATTTTACCAAAAGAAGTAACAAGAATAATGGCCTCCACAGCCTGCGATCATTTTATACTAACACACTGCAACATGGCTTTGCCCTGGGGCAGAGAAGTGGGGATTTTCTCTACTTCAAAAGGATGAAAAATTATCATTGCTCTATCCAGAACCATTATAGACTTCAAAGCCTTTGGCATGAAATATTCAGAAAGTTTATTTTAGAATTCAATATTTTAAAAGCCTGCTTTAAAACTATTACAGTGATCAGTGGCTCCGTTACTTGGGCCAGTCTTTGCTTTAAAAAGCCCTGTGTCATGGTCATGGTCGATACCATTTATGGTTTCAACAGAATATAATTTGCATAAGGATGTAAAGCATTGTTTTAGAACGCTCCCCCAAAGAGCGATGGTGACCGCTGCTCACCAGTTATCCTTTCACACAGTCTTTTTAAATAAACATGACTTTTACTGGCAACGGCTGAATGTGTGGCTTATGCCCTAATTACCGGTATGTCTTTCTGACATGAGGGATCCTGCCCACGTGGGTGCCGTTTCTCTGCTCCCTGTGTGTGGGGGGGGCGGGGGGCAGTGCTCCTGTCTCTGGTTCTAGGGACACACAGGGCCAACCCAGCTGAGGCCGCCTGCACCCACAGCTGACCAGCCAGAGGTTCACATCTTCACCGCTCTTTATCGGAGTCAGAAAAGCTGGTCAGGAATTTGTGAGCATTGAACTGGGCTTACAAGGCCATGGGGGAAGCCAGTGAGAACTTCAGGAACTAGAGTTAGCCACGTGGAAACTGCAATACAGCTACTTCTCCCCTGAACAGCCTCTGTATGTACGGAGGCAATAAGCAGAGTGTAGAGCCCTGGTTTTGGGAGTTAATGATCCTGATTTGATTTCCAAGCCTGCCACTTACCAGCAAGGTGATCTTGGGAAGCTACTTCACCTCTTTAAGCTCAATGTTTCCTTCTGGAAAATGTACCTGCCCCAGCACTGGCACACGGATTCAGTGAGAGAAGGAATGTAAAGGCAGAGCGCAGTGGAGGATGTCAGCCCCGGCGCGCGTCGTTCTTATTCATCCCCAAAGTGTGCTGATTTCTTCATTGGCTTATTCTCCATTTCTGTTGGGTAATGCACATATATTTATTGATGTATCACAGGAAGAGTTTGCAGGATGACTAGAAAAAAACATCATTCCTGCTTTTTTTTTACATATCCTGTGCATTTAGCTTCATTTCTTTAAATGTGTTGAAAGGTATTATTTCCGTAGGTTTTAGTGAATACCTTTTTCTTTCCTTCCCACTTATCAATGTAAGGAAAAAATTGATGCCAATTTTTTCCCTTACCTTAGCCTTTAAGTAGATAAATAGATGCCTCTCACATAAACATGCAAAGAAATGTTCCAGTGTGCACTTGATGCATAAGTATGAAGAAAATAATCTGTAAATAACTTCTTGTTTCATTTTCCAGGGAAGTAGATCAAGACTCGGATGGCCATGTCAGCTTTAAAGACTTTGAATATGCCATGAATTGTGGACAAAGATGAAGCCTGACTATGCTTTTGGCAACTGCTGGGGAGTTGCCAAAACTGACTATGCTTTTGGCAACTGACTACGCTTTTGGCAACTTCTGGGGAGACCAATAGATTGTAATGTACTTAAATGTCAAAATTTCATTCTACCAATATGCAATGCTGCCTACTTGCGATTAAACTCTTCATCATGGTTTTCAGAGGCTAATAATTGCTCCCATCTCAGAATCCTTGAGGTCTTCATTAAGTTCATTCCATGTGGCTAGTGGCCCCTCCTCGCCACTCTCAACCCCCTACTCTGCAGGCTGGGGTGCTCCACTCCCCTACTCCTTGCCACCCTCCCTCCCCCGTTTCCCATCAGTTCCTAATTTCGGGAGAGGAGCCACTTTTTCCTGCTAATGAGCCAGTTTCTTTCATGCATTCAACTTGGTTGAACAAATAATAGCACCTGCCTGTACTGCATGCTCACTGTGTTCCAAGTAATGAGCAAGGCATTGGGAAAACAAAGCCTTAAGGCTTTTCTAGATAATGTACCCAGAGTCAAAGGCATCATGGAAAACGGGCCCCAGGGCACGGGCTCTGCCGGACTGAAACCAGATTGGACTGACTCGTACCAGACTGGGCTGACACGAGTCAGTCCGTCCTCTCCAGCTGCATACAGAGGAAGATCGGAGTGGAGTGAAAGTACTGGGGGAAGGACTTAGTTGTGAACTTTTATGAGGGCCTGGGCCAGTGACTACTCTACTGGAACAGAAACTGTTGACACTGGACATTCAGCATTTATTTTAAATAAATACAAGCCTCAAAACAAATATTTTATCTCTACATGTTCAGAATTGCTCACATTAACAACGTGAGGAAAATAACATAATTCAAACTACAAAACTATTAAATATTTCAAGATCGAGTAAAAATGTAAGTTTGTAAAATAGAACCATTAACATGCATCTTTCTAACACAAATTATGAGCAGATAAACTTAGTAGAAATAAGGTCTGAAACTGTCATGAATCAGGGGAGCCTAAACAAACGTAATAGCTAAATGTAATTTAGTATTCAGGATGGGATCCTAAAACAAAAAAGGACATTAGGTAAACAGTAATAAAGTATGGACTTTAGTTAATAATATTGTTTGTGGCTAATTAATTGTGACTAATATGTCATGCTCACATAAAAGGCTAATGATAGGGGAAATCGGGTGAAGAGTTTGTGGGAACTCAGCTATCTTCAAAATTTTTCTATCATCCTAAGACTACTCCTATCAATGATGCCAGAGTGGTATCACTGAGTATCATGTGTGTTTTAGTTCAAATTGATCTAGCTGATGAAAAGCCCTTTCTGACTTTGGGTAGAGTTTTGTTCAGCAAGTATTTTCATCCTAAATTGGAACATTGATCTTTATTTGGATTCATAAATGATACTGATTTTCAATTTCTAAAATATTGAAATTACAGTAATACACCAAGTGCCAGTGTTGCAGTAATTGCCAGGGCACCAGAGCCTCCAATTGCAGCCGCTATTTGGACTTCATTTATCCTGGGAAAAGACAAGAAAGGGAGGAGGGGTCACTTTCTCCAGCTGATGTGGGAGGTAAGAGGCTGCTTCCTTGGGCCACTCCTTTGACCTTGGATTAGTCCAGGCTCCTTTTGGTTTCGCAGAAACCTACTCAAACTAGCTTAGGCAGAAAGGAAATTTTCCGGAAAATAGTGGCCTAGTTTTTGGAGTCTGACGCTGGGAGGGCAGTGGCGCGGCTGGGTTTCCACGGTAACGAGAGCCAGCGCCTCCAGCCTCCGTTGGCCTCACTCACTGTCGGCCTCACACCATTGCAACAAGCAAGTGGCCTGCGGTCTGTCCAGCTTCAGGTTCAAAGGGGCTTTGGTGGCCCCTGGAACAGTCAGCTCAGGTTCACCAGGAGGGTACAGACATGGCCACTGGGTACTCGGTGGGGTGTCCTGAAGGCTGGCTGGTCACAGGGAGGCAGAGTTTGTAAGTGGGCAGCCGTTCCGTTTCCTCTCCTAGAAGAAAACACTATGGCCGGCAGCTGATCTGGGACGCAGAGCACCCCTAGGACTTGCTGCCCAGGAGGCTCAAGCTCTGGGAGCACAGGCCAGAAACAAAGAGGAGAGAGGAGGAGCTGTTCAAGCCACCTCCCCCTCCTTACCACTCCCCCAAGGCCAGTCCAGATCCTCACCCTGCAAGCTTTGGCCTCAGCATCTCACTTTAGGTCCCTGTCCCGGCCCGTGTAGGTCTGCCCTTAGATGGATGGCCCACAGGTTGGCATCCATGCAGGCTGATCAACTCATTCTCTTCCCTTGGAAGATGTTAAGAATGAGAGTAAGACAGAAACGCTCCTCTGAGTGGCTGAATGAGTGGGTATGACTCAGGAGCCAGTGGCAGACATTGGTTTCCACCACTTGGCTCGGAAATCCGAGATAGCATATTTGCAATAGAAGCAGAAAATGAAATAGATATCAGGGAAGAAAGAAAGAAGCCAGAGAAACCCTATGGTACTTGATTTCTAGTCAAAGCTTGTGTGCAAAGCCCAGTCATAATAATCCTTTGGGTCCTGTGAGGTAACCCTGTATACTTCCAATCAATCTTTCTGCTCAAGCCAGCTGGACTTGCTTTCTGTTACTTGAAACCAAGAGAACCCAAACTATTCAGAGCATAGAGCCAAGGACAGAGTCTTAGGCAACATCAATATTTACTGGGCAGGAAAGAAAAGAGTCTTCTAAAGAGACTAAGAAGTAATTGAAGATGGAAAAGGAAGCCATTACCACTTCTCTTTCCAGCCCCCAGCCTCCGCTTGACCTCTCCCTGTAACCAGCTCCAGTCTTGCCCTATGGCCACAGCTCTCAGGAGGTCCTCAGTGACCTACTAGAGGCCATCAGCCCTCTCAGACCTCGTCACCCTTGTCCCTTCTCCTGTGTCATTCTCTCTTAGCCTCTATAACATTAGACTTCTATGGTATTTCTATGCCCATTTTCTCGCACTCTCTTTTCCTGTTTTTTTTCCTGCAACCATCTGTAAGCGTTAATATTCTCCAAGGTCCTGTAATTAGCTGATCTCCTGGAGGGACACATTCTCTGACCACGGAAGATTTCATCCCAAGGCCTCAGCTATCACGTTTATGCATATGACTCCACAAATAAATCTTTATCATTAGTCTTGACCTCTGCTCAACCCCAACCCTGTTTTTTTGTTTGTTTTGTTTTTGATGCTGGAGCATCTCATGGTGCCAGAGATTGAGGAAGTGCCAAAAAAAAATTGCACACAGAAACCCCACATGGGTAAGACATATGGCAAAGAGACACAAGAAGCAATAGAAAGAGCTCCCAGTGGTGAAAGCTGAAACAATTTGAGCAACAAAATAAAGTAGTATTGGATTATAACCCAAAGTATAAAATAAATATCTATGCATCCATACTAATGCAAATACATAATTGAATAAATAAATAAATGGAAGAGTAGAGACAACTCTCCCTTGCAGAAGAATTCCAAATAATGCATGCAAGTTCTCTGCCCTCAAAGAGAAGAAGCACAGGCCCCATTCCTTCAGTGTGGGTGGCAGATAGTGCCTTCTTCCCAAGGGTCCTGCATAGAAGGGGGGACAGAATAACCAAAAATGCCTGACAGTCACTACCTTAGCCAGGCGATCAAGGTCAGTATCAACAGTGATAAATCACGTTGATACTGTGCACCCTTATGTAGGTGATGAAAATGACACTTTACCTCTGGTTTTCTCCCCAAAACCAACCATCGCAGTCTAATTAGAGGAAAACATCAGACAAATCTCAGCTCAGAGACATTGTACAAAATGCCTGACCAGGATTCCTCAAAACAGTCAAGGTCACCACAATCAAGAAAAGCCTGAGAAACTGTCACGGCCAAGAGGAGCCTAAGGACATGTGATGACTAATGTCACGTCATAGCCAGAATGGGATCCAGAACGGTAAAAAGACTTCAGTAAAAATTCAGGAAATCTGAATGAAGTATGGGCTTCAGATAATAATAATGTATCAATTATTATTTCATTAATTATGATAAGTGTACCATACTAATGTAAGATAATAATAGGGAAGATGGGTGTGAGGTATATAGGAACTCTGTATTTGCAATTTTTCTATAAATCTAAAACTGTTCTAAAATTAAGTTTATTGTTTTTTAATTTTATGTCTTTATGATAGAAAATATATACCTTACCACTACTTATATTTATAATAAAAGTTCATATGTTGATTTAAAAATATGTTAAAGAGGGTACATAGCTTTTCAGAATAAGGTTATGGGATACATTAGTTTTTGCAAAAATCTTTGAAGACCAATGCTTTATGGCACCTTTAATGCTTTAAAGACCAATGCTTTATAGGACTCTCTAAACTCTCAGCGATGACCCCCAGCGGCCAGGCCTTTGCCACAGGGAAGTATGTTCACAGTCTATTATATAATTTAGATTGGCCTCTGACAAAGAAGAGGCCTCGTATAATTTAAAGTATCTGCTTTTGAATTGCCTTTGGAGAACCCTCAAAAAAACAACAAAAAAAGTCCCCAGCTTTCCTATTACTGCTTTCGATAGGAAAGAAATCGCTTAGCTTTGGATCTATTGAAAAGAAAGCCCCTTATACTTCTTTTGAACTTCGTAATTTCACTCAGCACTGAGGAAACTGTAAGGTGCCATCTGCCCGCAGGTGTGGCTCCTATGCTCTTCCTGTGCTGGGTCTCACAAGGCCTGTTAGTATTGCTAAGGCGTGGAAACCATTGACAGAGGAAGGGGAAAAGAAAGTGTGAGATTTTATGTGTATTAATGTATTCCCATGTCAAGGTACACTGGAATATTATTCGGCCATAAAAAGGAGATCCTGCCACCTGCGACAACATGGCTGAACCCCGAGGGCATTATGCTAAGTCAGAAAGAGAAAGAAAAATCCCGTAGGATGTCACTCACACGTGAAATGTAAACAACTGGAATTCATAGGAACAGAAGAAGTGTGGCTCTGAGGGCTGGGGGAGAGAGGGAAGTGGGGAAACGTTGGTCCAACGGCGCCGATTCCCGGTTGAAAGATGGGTCAGTTCCGGGGCTCTAACGTGCAGCATGGTAACTACAGTTAACAATCCTGCATTATATGCTTGAAAGTTTCGAAGAGAGTAAATCTTAAATGTTCTCCCTGCACACACACACACACACACAGGGAATGATGAAACATGACGGAAGTGTGAACTAACCTTTTTGTGGTCATCATACCGAAACTTACAATGTCACACGTCGAGAGCCGGGGAAATGCCTGTCGGTGGTGGAGCACCTGTTCTCCCTGCGGCCCGGGCGGCTCGGCCCCAGCCCAGCGCTGCGTCCTGGCCACGCAAGGCCACTGCGGGGTTGTTCAGGGGCCGGTTTGGCTTCACAACGTTTATATTTATTCATTAAAGGTGTAATGGTGTTTCAGTCTGTTCGGGCTTCTAGAACAAAAATACAGTAGACTGGGTAGCTTATGAAGAACACTAAAGAACAGACGTTTATTTCTCACGGGAGATTGTGGTGCTGGCATTTCCGGTGTCTGGTGAAAAGCCTGTGTCCTCAGAGATGCCCATCTTCTCACACGCCGCAGGGTGCAAGAGCCCGTGGAAGAGGCACTAACGTCTCTCCCAAAGGCTCCTCCCTCCTGACCTCCTCACCTCCCACGGGCCCCACCTCCTAATCGCTCTGGGGGTTTGGATTTTAATTTATGAATTTTAAGGGGCAAAAGTTCAGACCAGAGCAAATGGTAACACGCTTAGTTCTTGCTTAAATTTTCATCTCATATCCAGATCATATTGTTTTATTTATGTCATGAATTTTATTAATCACTAAGGTGGCTTTTATAATTGTTACAGTTCCTTAAGTTTTAGTTGCATGTGTAAATAATGTATTATTTGTTGGTCTTTCTATGAGTTTATCAATTTTATTAATTGTTTTAAAACATTAACTTTTGGGCTTGTTGCTTATTCTTTATTTTTGGATTCATTATTTCTGCCCTTATTATTACCATTCCCTTTCTTCTTTATTATTATTATTTTTTAATGTGTAGCTACATGGGAGGCTAAGATCATTGATTTCCAGCCTCTAT